TTATTTGAGTAACTTACCTAATCTTTTGCATTCAGGATTCATTTTTTATACACATTTTAGTATTTGGTCTCTTGTACTTATACTTTAAAAAACACATGTACTGTAATCTTTAGCACATCAAACAAAGTAGCACAAAGTATGCAGTCACTAACTAAATACCTTAGTTGAACAGAAGTGAAGAAAGAGCGAGATATTGGTGAAGAAAGACATTTAGTTTTCTGATATTACTGTCTCTTTCGTACCATTTGTAAAAATATCGTACAATTTGTTTCTATTTAGTAACATACTAAGAACAATGATGGTAATTTGTATTTGTGTACTATATTAATCGACTTATAATTTAGTAAAAAGTATAAACCAGCCACATGAATCATTTCTAGCTCTTAATAGTGAAAAAAACTTTGGAAATTAAGGAGTTCATTCACACAACAAACCTCAAATGGTGCAAAAAAATTTAGTTATCCAGCAGCTACAAAAACATGAACTAGCTAGCCACATCAAATCGTCTATGAAAAGTGAAAAAATATCTCTATACCTTTACAAAAAAATATAAAAAAATAATAATTATCTCTATACATTTACAATATTTACCTACTGGAACTACTCTAAAATCGTAGTACTTGTTATTTATTCCACTGCTTCTAACGGATATCAAAGAATAAAAATATATTTTCCTCTATTTTTCCTTCTTACCCTAGTCGAGTACCAGTCTCAGTAATAAACGTATCTCATGGTATTTATTGATTTCCTGAAAAAATTCCAAAAGAGATGATGATATCTAATAGTATGTGATACTAATCTTAGCCTTGTGTTTATGAATCTAAGTACCTTCAGGCCTGGCTCTAGAGGTGGCGAAAGAGGCCCAGACTTAGTAGTACCCACGTCAGATTTTAAAAAACTTTCAAAAAACAAGAGAGTAACAATAAACTTAAAAATTATCTATAGTAAAAAAACTCCAAAAAACTATATATAATGCTTTCGCACAAAAAAAAAACTATATATAATGCTTAGAGCTCTAGAAAATGTTTAAAAAGGCCTTATAGAACTAAGCAAATAGTATTATGCAATCTTCTCTTTTTGCAATTAGTCAGTGTGATCAGAGAGAGACTATGTTCTTGTGTATAATTTATTTTCCAAGTTGGGTTTGTAGTTGTATGTCGTGTGGAAAAGCTTGAACGCTGTCTCTTGTAAATCTAATATGATTTTACGTAGGGTCGTTCCTCGGTCAAGCTAAATAAAATATTTGCTTTAGCCCCCAAAATTTTTTTACCTTTTTAATATTAAAAATAAATCCTTAAAAACATTTTGTTGTAGTGAAATATTCTCAAATTTTATAAAATTTAACATTTTCTAGTTTATTTTTCTTTCTTATTCGAGCTCCCAAATTTTTAGGGCCGACACTGATTTTATGTTATGATTAATGTCATATGAGAGAAAAATAAACGGTTGGGTTCTTTTGATTTTTGTGTATGTCCTAGTAAATTGTTTCCGACTGTAAGAGGATTAGTGGGTTAGTGACACTTCAGGAGGCATATCTAAGACAGAGTCCGGCTAATACGTATGTGGATGGCTCAAAAGAGGACCAGTAGGAATAATTGTCACTAATCTTTAATGTGCACACCAAAAAACTCATCTTCGATTTCGCTATAAGATGGTGATGAAATTAGGAGATTAAACTTTGTTTTTTTCAGTTTTGTCTTTTTCTGCAAAGGAAACTTCTCATGTCGATCCAAAGTGAGAAAGCGACAAATATTTCTATTTTATTTTTACACGAAAATAGACAAAAGTTTGTAATAGGCATATCTACATAAAGATTGTTGTTAATGAGAAAACGTAAATGGCCAAAGAATTACCTCCAGAGTGCCAAGAAACAGAACTCCCGCCATAGATCCCGGTACTGCTACAGATCCAATCACCACAGAAAAAGTAAGAGTCAGGAATTCTCCAGAGAATTTTCAGGAATTCCAAGATCCTCTTTCTTAACATCATGCAGCTGGAACTGTTGTGGTTTGGGGAATCCCACAACAGTTTCAAAGGATCCGGGAGATACTGCACCATTCAAGTCCGAACATCCTCTTCCTCATGAAAACAAAAAATCCCGACCAATGGATCCAGAAGAATCTCCAGTGGATGAACTATCACTCAACTTTTTTGGTCTCACCCCACACACCAGCGGGAGGTGGTCTCGCCCTCTTCTGGAAACAAGACTTGAATATCACGATAAACTCTGCTTGTAAGGACTACATTGATACAACTATCATCTATAAAGACAAACGCATCTTTGCTACTTTTGTCTATGAAGAGCCAAATCATTGTAAAAGAAAATCTGTTTGGGAACAACTGACTATATTAAGAGAAAACCGAGAGGAACCTTGGTACCTCACAGGCGATTTTAACGACATCGTGGACAGCAGTGAAAAGATAGGAGGCCCAACTAGACCCAAAAGCTCTTTCTGTGACTTCAGAGGCTTCCTCTCACAAAATGACCTTTCTGACCTGAGACACTCAGGAAACTTTCTCTCATGGAGGGGCAAGAGAAACAACGAATGGATACACTGCCGCTTAGACAGAGCACTATCCAATAGTGCTTGGGCTAACGAATTTCCATCAGGAAGATGCAATTATCTCCGCTTTGAGGGCTCTGATCACAGACCTCTGATCATCGTCTTTGACCCTTCAAAAAAAAAAGCAAGAGGCCTTTTTAGATACGATAGGAGACTAAAAAGCAACCAAGAAGTAAATAATCTAATCTCTACAACCTGGAATGAACTCTCCTTCACCACAGTGGCCCAACGAATCTCAAGATGTCGCCATGCTTTATCTAAATGCAGCAGGGAAAAATATGTCAATAGCCAAAAAGAAATATCTTCCACCAAGGCTTCCCTCGACAGGGAACTTTCAAGCTCACAACCTAATGAGGAACTGATCAACTCTCTAAAAAAATCCCTTTCGAAAGCCTACAATGAAGAGGAAAAGTACTGGAAACAGAGGAGTAGACAACTTTGGCTTACCCTGGGAGACAGGAATACTGGATACTTTCACGCCATCACAAAGAGCAGAAACGCAATCAATAAATTCTCCGTTATTGAAGACAAAGATGGCAATGTTTTCCACGAGGAACACCAAATAACCCAAGTCATATCCGCTTATTTCCAAGATCTTTTTACATCCTCGCCTTTCGACGGCTCTGAGATAATCACCCGAGCAATCAATCCCTGCGTATCCCCAAAGATGAACTCAACCCTCACTGCTCAACCATCCCCTGTGGAGATTAAGGAAGCCCTCTTTGACATCCACCCGGATAAAGCATCGGACCCTGATGGCTTTTCAGCAAGCTTCTTCCAATCCAACTGGAACACGGTGGGACCGGAGATCGTAAAAAGAATCCTTAGCTTTTTCGAATCGGGTACCCTGCCAAGACATATCAACAACACTCACATCAGACTTATTCCAAAAATACAAGGAGCTAAGACAGTAGCATATTACAGACCCATTGCGCTCTGTAATATCTACTACAAAATTATCTCAAAGATACTCGCCAAGAGACTCAAACCTGTGCTTCAAAGTGTAATCTCAGAAAATCAATCGGCTTTTGTTGCAGGAAGAGCAATATCTGACAATGTTATGATAACACACGAGGTGTTACACCTCCTGAAAAACTCAAAAGCGGAGAAGCAAGTGTCAATGGCTATAAAGACTGACAGGAGCAAAGCATATGACAGGGTGGAATGGGCATTCATAACCCAAGTGCTTGTAAGGCTTGGGTTCAATGACAAGTGGATAACATGGGTTATGCAGTGTATCATCACGGTAATATACTCCTTCTTGATAAACGGGCAAGATCAAGGAAGTGTAATCCCACAGAGGGGCATTCGCCAAGGTGACCCCCTATCACCTTACATCTTCATCTTATACGGAGAAGTGCTCTCTGGTTTATGCAAAAAAGCTCTAGAGGAAGGTTCACTGCCAGGAATCAGGGTGTCGAGACAGTGTCCAAGCATAAACCACCTGCTCTTTGCAGAAGACACCATGATATTCTGTAAAGCAAACCCAAAATGCTGCTCAGTACTCAAAAACATCTTGCTAGATTACGAACTGGCGTCAGGGCAGATGATCAATACCAACAAATCCTCTATCACTTTCTCAGCAAAAAACTCCACAAAATATAAAGAGAAGAGTCAAGAATGATCTAGGAATCCAAAATGAAGGTGGTGTTGGCAACCTAGGTCTACCGGAACACTTTGGGAAACGCAAGAAGGATCTCTTCACGGCAATTATTGATCGTATCAGACAATGAGCAATTAGCTGGTCCTCTAAACACCTCTCTAATACCGGGAAACTTGCGCTTCTAAAATCGGTGCTGGCCTTCATGCCCACATACGCCATGTGTTGCTTTCTCCTTCCAGTCAGGCTGTGTAAGCACATACAATCGACACTAACAAGATTTTGGTGGGATGCTAATCCTGAAAAGAAGAAGATGTGTTGGTCTGCGAGATATTCAAATCTTTAATAAATCTCTACTGGGAAAACTCGCCTGGAGAATCCTCACCAACCCAAGCAGCCTCCTCGCAAGGATCGTGAAAGGTAAATACTTCAACTCCTGTGATTTTCTGGAAGCAAAACTGCCATCTCTTAGCTCCCATGGCTGGAAAGGTATATTAGAAGGAAGGGATCTCATCAAACCTCATCTGGGAATGGCCATTGGTAATGGAGAAAATACCAGAGCCTGGCTTGATTCGTGGATCTACATTTCGAAGCAACTCCAACACTACAGACCCATTGAGGAAGAATCTATTAATCTCATAGTCTCGGATTTGATAGATCAAGACTCAAAAGAATGGAATATACCTCAGGTGGAAAAGAAATTTCCCCACCTAGTGCAAGACATCCTACAAATCGCCCTAAGCAAACTCAATGCAAAAGACCGCTTCATCTGGTTACCACAAGCAAATGGGGAATATACTACCCGATCAGGATACCATGCAACAAGAGGATTGGAGATGCTACCAAACTCACATAATCAGGGAGCTCCAAACTTCGACTGGGTACGACATGTCTGGTCCGGGAACTTCTCACCAAAGCTGAAACTTTTCATGTGGAAAATCCTACAAAATGCAATCCCAATCGGTGAGAATCTAGCAAAAAGAGGCCTACTGGCTAACAAGAACTGCATTCGATATGGTCTACCAAAAACAGCCACTCACCTATTCTTTCACTGCGATCATGCCAAAGAAGTCTGGAGAAGAATACCACTTAGAGAAGAGCTAGATCTCTCCCAAGCTCAAACTTTCATAGAAGGTTTGCTATTATCCCGACAAGCGCTACCTTTACCACCACTGGGAATCAACAGCGATTCACTCTTTGCCTGGATCTGCTGGTCCCTCTGGTCGGCAAGGAATCTCCTCCTCTTCGAGAACAGGGCCTTAAATCCCTGAGACACTCTCACAAAAGCAATTTTAGATGCCCGAGAATGGGTTGTGGTGCAAGTAACCCAAAGCACCAGCCAGCAGAGCAGAGAACCAGCTCACACAAACACAACCCACTGGGCACCGAGGGACGCCATCCGATGCAATACCGACGCAGCGTAGATCTCATCAACCAGAGAAGCGTGGCTGGGTTGGATCTTCCAAAACCACACCGGTAATTACTTTCTCCAGGGATCCAAATCGAAGACATGCATCCGATCTCCACTCACAGCCGAAGCTCTTGCCGTAAGAGAAGCCTTGCAACACGCAACCACTCTTGGTATTTCAAAAATCTGCATCCTGTCAGATTCACAGGTGCTCATACGCACCATCAACACCAATACCAGATCGACGGAGCTTCACAGAGTCCTTTCTGATATTGGAATTCTATCTGCAAATTTTCTTTTCATTTCCTTCTCGTTTATCCCTCGAACATTGAATCGTCTAGCCGAAGGTCTGGCTAAAGCAGCTCTTGGGCCTGCTCCTGTTGTATCAGGCTAGAATTATTTGAGCCAAGTTGCCTTTTATATTAATTTAATTGATAAAAAAAAAAAAATTCACGCGTCAAAACATTTTTTTTATTCTTTTAAACTAAATATATTTAGATAAAATAATCTATGTGATTGGATGAAAATATTTATGTTGTAAAAATTTGAACTTATAAGTTTTTAAATCAGAATCTAATTAAACTTTTATATGTTAACAGTCACTAATGTTTATGTATTATTTTCGTGGATGAATTTTTTTAGTGTAATTGAAGAGAAATTAACATTGTCAAAAAAATCAATAAATATTTTGTTTTGTTAATGTCAAGAATACAAGTAATTTTGATTGTGGTCCATACACAAAAATCTATTATATATGTGTGTAGTTCATTATTATTTACCATCACATTTCTTAAAAATAATTTCGCTATAACATGTTAAAAATATTAATTTATTAAAAGTAATTTTTTTGCGTTTTATAATTATTCTACATAAAAATATTCAGTTTAATTAATTTCGATACCACTTTCTAATCATCTAGCATAGTGACATAGTAATTAGACTTGATGTGTGTTAATGGACAATCAGAGTACATGTAACTAAGAGCACTTCTAAGAGGGTATATAAGCTAAGGGTCTCAAATAAAAAACTTCAGATATCGCTTCTCACTTTAATGACACATGTATTATTATTTCATTAGTTCACTTTTTTCTATTTAAATTTTAACTATATAATCAAAATATATCAATATAATATAGATTAGATGTTCTCTTTAAGCAATTAACCGTTTAGAGGTGCTCTAATGAACTAATGCAAGAATTTTATACGGATCTAATTTCAAAATTTTGGTTGTTAACGGAGGAGTGAAAAAAATCAGCTACATTGAATTTGAGTGAAATACATTTGTGCAGACTACAAAAACGAACCCTATGTAGTACGAGTTTATCAGTTTTACTTAAATCACAGACTCTATTCCCACAAAACGACAAACTTATAATAACTCTCGATATTAAACAAAAAGAAACTCTCATAAAAACTTGCCGCCGAAATATAATATATGGTAAATCTCTTCCTAACTAAAAGGGTATTTTCAAATATATAAATGAGTGGTCCCCAGAATACTCTTTACTCTGTTTCTTTATGTCTCTCTGAATACAAAGACACAATTGCTTATATAAACCATTTTGTGTCCTTAATGGTTCTTCCCACAAACAAGAAGAAACACTTTCACAAAGATAAAGAACTCCAAAGCTTCCACTCTTATAACATGGCAACTTTCTCTTATTTCCAACATTATCCTCATTCTCTTCTTGATCCTCTTCTCTTCCCCACACCTAACTCTTCCACTAAGCCCTCTGGTTTCATCGACCAGAATACTCTCTATTCACTACCAAACACTTCTACAATCGAAGATACTTCCTTTAACCTGTTTCTTGATTCATATAATGTTAAGAAAACCGAAAGCTCTGATGTTAAGAAACAGAACAACACCAACACAATCGGTTCTTCTTCCGGCGACCAGCTCAGCCACGGGCCCTCCACAACCTCTTCCGGCAAAAACCGTCGGAAGAAGACCAGAAATGGGTTTAACTCCAAGGTAAAATTGATTCAACTTGTAATGTAGTTTCATGTTTGGACGGGATTGTGATAGATAGGAACTAAGATGCTGGGGTGGTTTACAGAATCAGGAAGGAGTAGAGGGAAGAAAAAGTAAAAAGCAAAGAAATGGTAGCACAAGCGACGTCAAAGAGAAGAGAGGGAGCGAACAAGAAGCTCCCAAAGATTACATTCACGTTAGAGCCAGAAGAGGCCAAGCTACTGATAGCCACAGCCTCGCCGAGAGGGTAATGTAGTCATTTTTCTTTTAACTTTATTTATTTTATTAATCATTGTTTATAAAAATCTAGTTACTAAAAATATTTTGGTTGTAATAATAATATAGGTGAGAAGGGAAAAGATAAGTGAGCGGATGAAAACTCTGCAAAACCTTGTCCCGGGATGTGATAAGGTTAGCTAGAGACAATTCTAATTAGGAAATGATAATGTTCTAATTATCTATTTTTATTTATAATTAGTTGTTTTTTAATCAAATGTGACATAACAACAAACAGGTAACAGGGAAGGCCCTCATGTTGGATGAGATTATAAATTATGTTCAGTCCTTGCAAAATCAAGTTGAGGTGCACTTCTATATTTCTTCTTCTTATGGCATTTTTAGGTTAAAAATAATAAATACAAATTATAGCCATTTTCCTTTTTTTCATTAGTTTCTCTCGATGAAGTTAGCTTCTATAAGTCCAGTGGTCTATGACTTCGGTTCGGACCTTGATGGCCTCATAGTTAGACCTGAGGTACTTCATCTGCACTTAATCTCTTATTTACTTAATCCGGTTACCAAATACCGGTTATCGATTGCAATTAAGTATCTTATTCATGAACAGATGGGATCCACAGAAGTAAGAGCCTCTTTTACCAATACAATGCCAACAACTAATCCTCTCTTTTCTTCACTTTTGGATGATAATATCATACCCACGCAGGCACAGCTTCAGGTTTTTTTCCTTTTTATTAAAGTGATATTATTTTCAGGTAATATATTAAAGAGAATCAAGATAGATAAGAATCAATTAATCAAACATTAATAGATAGTGATGTATTGCTTAATTTAGGATGAGGGAAAAGAAAGAGAAAAGTTAGAAGACAGAAGTGGGTTCAACAGCAACAGTTTCTGTTCTTTCTCTTAATTAATCACATGTCGACACAAACACAAAAGCCTGCTTTCGTGAGTTTCTTCTGATCTTGTCTCTTCAACTAACTAATTATTATTTCAATTATTATTATTTTAGCATTTTTCATATAATTGTCAAAAAGCTGGTCTTGGTTTCGTAATTATTGCTATTGTTATTGGATATAGGTTAATCTCCTCCCATATGCACGGAGGGAGTAAAATCTACGTAAACCAGTGCTGGTAAAGGAAAAGGAGGATGTAATTATTTGTTCCTTTTCTAGGTTTAAACTTTAAAGAAAATTAATAAAAGGTTCATTTTTTCCTGGCTATGTGCCCAAGAGTTTCAACATCATTATCTTCATCATGCTCACACCTCTATTGCCATAATCATCATTATCATCATCATCATCATTATCATCAAAAGCAAAGGTTAAAAGATACGGGCATCTGAGGAAAGGGGAAGATGCAATTTCGATGGAGGAAAGAGAGACATATAAACGAGAAAGACCGCTTAGAGCTTGATTATTGTTTTAGTATAATTTAAATTTGAATACTTTGGGTTATTCTCTTATTCAGTATAGTTCTTGTATTTTCACCACTCATGTATGATTTCTTGCACAACATCTTTCTTTTTTTCTCCTTTTTTTATGCAAACTGCTATCCACACACTCATGTTATATTCCTAAACATAAATAAAATTTTGCAGTCGAAAAGAACCCATACATAATTTTTAATGATTCGTTTTCTGTCAATTTATTTGTTATGAAATAATGTCAGAAGAAAATATTAGATTTCCCTTACTGGGAACACTTTAATGTACTGTTGAATAGTTTGGTCATAATTTTCTGCTCTCACTTGTCACACATTGATAACTCCCACTCCTCTGTCTTTTCAAAATACATACATCATATATATTCATATGTATATATACCATGTTCTAAGATTTATATAGTTTAAATTATGTCTTTTATTTTTACAGCTTTTTGAAGTATGTCTAAGTTTTGAAAGAGATATTAATGTTAAGGTAACATATTACTCATTCCGTTTCAAAATAAGTGTTACTTTGACACTTTTTACACAAATTAAGAAATCTGTTTTACTATTTATTCACACACAACATAACATTTTTTTCTAATTAAAACAATAAAAATCAAAGATTAAAATTGAATATTTATTTTAAAATTATGCATTAAAAATATAAAGTGATACTTTTTATGAAACAAAAATAAAACTTTAGAATGACACTTATTTTGAAATGGAAAAAATATTATATTTTACATTTTGAATGCTAAGAGCCTCTAAATATGCTGTCATTTCCAGAATTAGTCGGTACTTACACATTTTCAAGCGGTAGTAATGAATACTTGAGTTAATTCAATGCAAAATTGCAGGATTTATTTGTATGTACCTAACCAAAAATATGCAAGAGCCTTAAATAGACAATAGATAAATATTTTAGAATTATAGATATACATAAATTATCCAGATTTTAGTAGACAATAGCAACAACACAAAATAAGAATATCAATTAGATATAATCAAACACTAGAATATATATAGCATAAGAATAATAGTTTTAAATATTTAATAGGATTGTCTTGTTCATTACTGTTCACCAACTCATTCATGTCAAAACTCCAAATAAAAATAGATTTTTATTATTATTTTATATAAATAATTTCGGCAATCGGACAAGGAAAAACTATAACTTAAAATTAGTAAAAACATATTGTATCTTCTATTTTAATTTTATTAATTTAACTCTTATAAAAAGAAACTTTATAATTGCTTACAATCGATGATGTAATCAAAATATTGAGCTGGTTTCCAATGAATATAAAAACAAAATGTGATGCTTTAAGAAATTCAAGTTATTTTCTATAATTTTAATAATTATTTTAGGTTTTCATCTAATATTTCATGTGTTTTACAAAATATGTTTTTTTAAAAACAAATTCATACATATTAAAAACTTTAATAAAAAGTCTATTCTATCTTATATTAATATGTTAATAAAATTTCTTTTTTCTAGTTAATACACTAATATAACAAAATTAAAACTGGATATTTGTTTAAAATTTTGCATTTAAAATACAAAATAACACTTTTTACAAAATTTAAAAAATACACTATTCAAGCCAGAATAATAACTTCCCATCAAAATTATAACCAAATTCAAACTACTAAATATTTAGCACCACCATCAAGCTATTATTTATGCAGTTTTCTAGTTCATTGTTTTACCATAAATTCTAATTGTTACTTTGAACTTGATACGAACCCTAAAAAAAGCGTATATCTAAGAGCACATTTATTGGCTCGTTTTCTATCAAGGTATTTAACAAATAAATAAATATAAAATAATAATAAAGAAAGAAAAAGAATGAGAATTAGTGATAAAGAAAGAAAATAAGAGAGAAACGTCTTTTAAACAAGAGACTTTAGAACATCTACATCGGTGTATCTAAACTGAATATTTAAACATAAAAAGATATTAAAACTGTGAGAAAAGAAGAGAGAGTCAGATGCGACTCTTATTTAAACAATTTAAGAAACCATCCTAAGAAAACTAAGATACTATAAACCCATTTGTCCGATTTCTAACTGGATCTATTTCTTTTAAATATTAAAATTTAATTTTACATAATAAGTTATATTAAAATATGGTTAAGAATCCTCTTTTTAACATCTCTACCAAATATTAAAAATTTAAACAAGTTTTAAATAAACAAGTTATTAAATAATATAGTTTTAAATAAAATATAATTATGATAAAAATAATTTAAAAAATAAAATGTTAAAAATAATAAAAAATAATTAAATTTTATTGAATTTAAAAAAAAAACATAATTCAAACCAGTATTTACTAACTCAATAAAGTATATACTAATAATTATTTTATAATATTAATAGGATATCGATATCAAATTCTTAATAATTATTTTTATATAAATTTTATCAACTTTTTATTGTTATTTTCTACAATGTACATAACTTATGTTACCATCTCATCTTATCTCTTATCATAGTTTTAATAAAAATAAATTTTTATATCATATTCACATATATATATATATATATATAAGATGTCAAAAAAATATATTCATAAATTTATTTTCATTTTATATCGAGAATTTGAGATCATAAATGAAATAAAAATAACCGAACGAAAGAATAAATTAAAATAAAATGAAACAAATATGACTAAAAATAAAAATAGAAATATATAAAAATAAATTTCTCGTACTTTGATTTACAAAGTCACTTAAAAACTTTTTAACATGTAAGAGCCATATTTTAAATTTTTTACAAATATGTGTACAAACATAAATATTAATTGTGTATTTATTGAGGTCACATGTGAATTTTTTCGTGCATGTATTTTGTTAAGTTTGATTACATACTAAGTTTTATTTTAATTATTATACAACTTATATTTTAAAAAAATCTTTATCTATTCTAAGTATAGTGAGGTGGTTGGTATACCCGCACATGCGTGTCAACCATTTATTCGCTTTTATAAAATAAAAATAATAAAAACTATTTCAGTTTAATTTGCAATAAATAAAGAAAAATATATTATATATGTATTTGTAAATTCATATTATGTAAGATGCAAACAAGTATATTGTGGATTGTGTAAGGAAAAATAAAGCATATTATAGAGAATATTCAAAAAATATTATAAAAATTTAATTATTAGCTAATATAATTTTTGTATTTGTGATTATATATTATTACAAACATTATAAAAATAATTTTTTTAAAAAAATACATTAGTTTTAGAAAGAAGTTTGTGAATAATTAAAACAATATATATACAAATATACCAATGTTTGAAGAATATATAAAAAAATCAATCAATATTTAAATATTACAATTAACTATGTCTATCAAAACAATTATATCTGCACGTACGTGCGGACCAACTACCTAGTATAAAAATAAATAATTTTTAAAAATTTAGAAAAACTTATTTATTTTTATGTTATTAAAAATCACACATTCTGAATATAATACTATTATTCATTTTTTTTATTTGTTAAATGATTTATTGAGAGATTTGCAATGTAGAATTTAACAACATAGATTATTTCTACCATTTTTTATTTTATTTATATATTGATTATAGCTGACCGTTAAAATGAAACATCTACTTACACTAGAGCACTTCGAGACTTTGCTTTTCAAAATAGGCACTTTCTGAAACTACGGCATTTTGGCGAGTGGTGTGCCATATGAAAATTCTATAATACCCCTTACTTCCCTTACCATTAAATTGTTACGTGCAGTTAATTTATTTTAACCAACTGTCTTTGTTTTAAAACTAGGTAGGCATATGTAATGTTGTAAGTTAACTTTGTCGGCTGGCGGCCGTTTGCTCACGTTTAGGTTTGATCATTTGAGAAATAATTATGTCAAAATTGACGGAACCCATTATGTTTTTCCCTCCGATTTGTTTTAATTCGAGTCCGTCAACGTTGTTTTGCGATATACGATTTAACTAAAAAATGAATTTCCGATCTACGTATGAACAAGCGACACCTGATTTTCCAACGCTGGACGGAAGGGCATTTATCGGTACTTTTTACTTAGTCGGAAAATGTTCAGGTAATTCGTTTCGTAAGGGCGAACTACTATGAGGGCGTCGTTGTGTTGCGCAAATTTGTACATATGGACGATGCATCGTGTTCAAGTTTTGGTGGCCGGTTGTGTGTACAAGTTCCGATAAATTAGGCGGGAGTTTGGATATGAATATTTTTCTTTTAAGGCCGATGGAGTTTGCATTTATTGCTCCTCCCTCTATGTGGCTGTGCGAGCTGCCGTACAATGTTGGCAGGTGTATAAAACAGATTAGGTTAGCCTTTAATGTTGTTCAACGCCTCCTTGAGCAGACTTTTATGTTCAAGGGTTTTCTGGCGCACAACAATGGCCGAACATTGTATGGTGATTTGTGGTGAGTGGGAGTCTGGTCAAGGTCGAAAGTGGGAATTTGCTATAGACAAGAGCCGGATGTCTAGGATAGTGGAAGTTAGAGTAAGAATGACTTTGCAAGAGCTGAAGACGGCTGTAGTGCATGAGTTCTTCCCCGAGGGTGTGGATTCTGTTGAAGCTTCTTTGAGTTACTGGCCTCCGAACACGACAGAGTTGGCAACAGGGATTACCACACCCCCTGTTTTAGTAATAAATAACGGAGCAGTTGTGTTTTTCTTCAGATATTTCATGGTAAGTAAATCCATGAATTTATTTGTGTCTTTTTCCGGTGATAATGGCCAAGCTATTAAGGAGGACTGTGACAGGAGAGTGATAGGCTTTACAACACCTACCGCATATAGGAACAATTTTAACATCTACGACGAGGGCTTTGTTTCTGCGAGACGTATGTCGGATAATTCTTTCGTTGCGCGCAAAAAAATTTCTAGAGACAAAGAGGGAGCAATTCCCGGGCCACTACCAAAGCGGCGGTTCTGTGAAAGTTCTTCAGGTAGCCAGGCGCACAATGGTGGTGCGCAGAGAGTTGGTTCTTACGCCGTCCCTTTCGAGCTGGATGAGGATAAAATTTTAAACGTGGTGGAGTCGGCGGAGGAGAATACTTCAGTGAGAAGGTTATTAGAAGGAGCAAAAGTTCTAGCTTGGGTACTGATGATTCGGATTCGAAAGATTATTGTGGTGAATTAGAGGACGATCGCGAGGTAATTCCTGTTGGATACGACAGTGAGTTATGGGAGCCACTAATTGATGACCCTTTGGTCAGCTCTGATGCTGCCGACGTGATGTGTCCCACGACGGATGGATTCGATGGTAAAGCAGCCGCGCTGGGAGTTCAGAGAGAAGTGTTGTGTAGCACGAACGATGCATTTGACCATCGCGTGCGAGTGGGTGGCGATCCTTATCGCGATGGTATGTTTAAAGAGGAAGCATCTCCGTTTACGTTTTTTGGTACCGCTGGTATCGGTTCTGGAGGTGAAGGCCCCTATGCTAACCGGGACCCGTTTGTGCCTTTAGGCGGTGGTCAAACTCCAGATGGCCATGGTTTGGCCGAAGAAGAAGGTCATGGTCAGTTTAGTGGTGGTTAGTGGGAGGGTGGTTACGGAGCGAGTGGTTAGTTTTTGGGGTGCGCTAGTGGTGGTCATGTGGCAACTCCTTCCACTCATGTGCGTGTGAAAGACACAAGACCGCTGCAATTGATAGACGACAAGGAGTTCGATATCCCGCCTCTTTTCGACGACACTCAGTATGTAAGCAAAGGTATTCCGGATCTAGACATTGACGGATTGGACGATGGAATTTACGTTGGGAAGCTATTTGCGAGCAAAGAGGAATGTCGTATTGCTCTGGCTATTTTTGCGATTAAGGGGATGTTTACTTTCAGGCAGAGTTGGACCAAACGTCATTACTTTGTGTTGAGTTGTGTTGATACAAAATGTGATTGGAGAGTGTTTTGCCGTGAGGTGGGAGACTGCGGTTAGTACGAGATTAAGAAAGCTGAGTTAGAGCACACTTGTGATCGTGATACACGTAATGCTTACAAGAAGAAGGCGTCTTCCAGAGTGATCGCTGCTGTTTTTAAGGCGATGTACGGAGACCCGGACCATGGACCTAGGGCTGCAGATTTGCAGCAGTTGGTGTTGGAGGGCCTTAGAGTTAGTGCTAGTTACATGACTTGATATAAGGCGAAGGCTAAAGCCATCGGTTCTATTCGTGGGTCGGATGAGGATTCGTACCTAGATCTGCCTATGCATTTGCATTTGTTGAAGCTTGCGAATCCCGGTACAGTTGCTGATCTGGTGACAGAGACTGACGAAAACGGATATGTCAGATTCCTTTACATGTTTATGTCATTCTACGCTTCTATCGTTGGGTTTAGGAAGCTCAGACCTGTAGTTGTATTGGATGGTACTCATCCGTGGGACAAGTATAAAGGGGTTCTTCTTACGACTTGTGGGCAGGATGCTAATTTCCAGGTGTTTCCGCTGGCGTATGCCGTGGTGGACGGGGAGAACAACGAGTCTTGGTGTTGATTTTTGCAGAAGCTAGAGCGTATCTTAGCGGACAGTCCTAATTTGACAATAATATATGACCGTCATCCGTCTATATACAAAGCAGTTAAGTTGTCGTATCCTAAAGCGAGGCATGGATGTTGCATTGTTCATTTGGCTATAAATGTTAGTGCCCAGTTCAATAATAAGGGATTGTCGAAGTTGGTTACTGCTGCCGCTTTTGCATACCGAGTTGGTTCATTTAAGAAAATGTTTAAAAAAATCCAAACGACAAGTGGAGAATGCGGGCGTTATCTCGAGAAAGTGGGCATGTCTCACTGGACCAGGATTTATTGTCAAGGAGAGAGGTATAATTTGATGACAAGTAATGTGTGCGAGCAGTTAAATAAGGCTTTGAAGAGGGGTAGGGGGTCACCGATAGTGGAGTTGTTGAGATTTATACAGGAGATGATGACACGCTGGTTTAGTGGGAGGAGGAAGAAATCTCTTAAATACCAGGGGAAGGTTACACCGGAGGTGGACAAGGTCATGACGAAGCACATGGAAGAAGTGAAAGGAAGTCGACTTAACGAAATCACGGACTGGAGATGCCAAGTGGTGGGACCTTTTGGGGAGCAAAATTCAGTTAATTTGACTGACCGTAAATGTTCATGTAAGAAATATGATCGTTTGAAGATACCATGCGGGCACGCCCTGCTCGTGGGTGATAGCTTAGGACTACTTCCGAGCACTTTAGTCGGGCGACGTATAGGGTAGGCAACTGGCGAGAGACTTATGAAGGTGTTATCAGCCCAATTGTTAGCAAGGAGGATGAAGAAGTTCCGGCTGAGATTACCAAGCTTGTTCTGCTTCCTCCAAGAACCCGACGCGGTGCAGGAAGAAGGAAGACTGAGCGAATTCCTTCTGTCGGGGAGATGCCTGTAAGTTGTTTATTTCAGACTATGTAATTAGGATTGGTTTATTATATGTTGAGTTGTAGAGTTTTGAATTGCTTTCAGGTGGCTCGTGTTAAGAAGGAAGTCCCGAATAGGTGTTCGAAATGCTTACAGCCTGGGCATAACAGGACTAGCTGTATGAAGCAAAAGTGATTGATGGAGGGTGTTCGTCCTGAATTTTGATTTGTGTGAGGGATAAGTTTTTGTGTGGAGCATAAGTCTGTAGCGGGTGTAATTTTTTGCGGAGTTGTGTCGTTTGCTATTTGGTCATTTCGTGTTTCATGTTTGGACATTTCTATGTATTTTAGAATCCTTTGTGGTGACTTTGTTGTTATTTTCCATATTGCCTTTTGAAAGTTATCTTCAAGGTATGTTGTTTGAACGCCTGTTTTTGACCCATTATTGAGTGACCACGGGATTTGGAACAGTAGGCGTTGAACATGGTTGGCCGGATGTTTAACTGTCGGGATATGGTTAATTACCGCGCGTGTGTTTGTCCCATTTCTTATTTACAACACAAAGGTGATTCACTTCGTATTTGGTATGGGCATTGAATTTGTTTTTGTACAAAATTTTAGTGGGCCTTTTTGTTTATATAGTTGAAGCTCAGTCTGCTGGGTACTAGGGTTGTTGTTGAGTCGGTTATATGTATTTAGTGGTCGCCGCTATTGATTTTTTTGAATCGTCCACTGAAATGACGGATAAAATGGGTGGTTCTCGAGTTGAGGTTGCTGCTGTGAGTTCGTCGAGTGAGAGCCATGGATCTATGGAAGGGCTGCTGTGTTTCTGCCACAGGGTAATTGTGAGCGCTAAATCTTGGACAGACGATAATCCTGGGCGGAGATATTTCAGGTGCGATAAGCATGGATTTCTCAGGTGGCGGGACATGGAGAAACCACATGGTTGGCAGAAGCAGAGTCTTTTGGAGGCGAGGGATCAGACCCGGCGTTAAGCAACCGAAAACAAGGAGTTGAAGGACGTGGTGATGCAGTTGAAGAAAACAAAAAGCGTTGGTGTGGCTATGGAGAGAGAGGGTCTTGAGGATGACTTTAGTTGTTCGGTTGATGAATTGAAGTTTGATTCATCGGCGAAGTATAATGCGTCGAAGGAGCATGAGGAGCTGTTGCTGCATTTCCTGATGATGTCTTGGGGTGAGTTCGTGTTGGTGATTGCGTTGGTGATTGTGTTGGGGAAGCATTAGTTACCGTCTTAGTAGTTTGTCTATGTTGGTAGAATATATTGTACCCGGCGTTTGATGTGTGTTTATGTATGTTTGTGTTATGGTGAAAGTATTTGACCATCGTGTCACCAACCACGCTGTCTTGACCATTGCGATGTGACCTCGGCATTTAGTAGTGCTTGTTCGTATGTATCGTATGGTGTGTATAACCTAGTTAACCACTCTCTGTGTAACCACAAACGTATGACCATTGCAATGTGACTTGTTATGTGACGCGCGGTGGGTAACAATTTGGTTTATGTTCATGGAATGCGGCAGTTTTGGAAGAAGGTATATGAAGGCTGTATAGAATAGAAGCTGTCCATATCATACTATCTAGCCGCACATTTCGTAGCAAGTGTTAGGTAAATATGACCAGCTCATAAGTGACCATGAGCAACTGACCATTGTATTTTATATGAAGGCTGTATAGAGTAGAAGCTGTCCATGTCATACTATCTAGCCGCAAATTTTGTAGCATGTGTAATGTAAATATGACTAGCGCATAAGTGACCACGAACAACTGACCATTGGTAGACAATTTAACAGTATTTTTAAAAATGAGTGCATTGTTTAATGGTTTTGCGTCGCCCCTGCATAAGTTTTGATAAAAGAGAGTAGGAGGAAGTTTTTGCAGAAGCAGGCGCTAGTAGAAGCATCGTTAAGTCTTATGTTTATAAAGAAAAGGCCGTAGTAGAGAAATGGTGAACTCCCCTGTGTACTTCTAGTAGAGAGGTATGACTAGGTCTCTGTAAAGGTCTAGGGCGTATTGTTTGCGGAATTGGTCAATGATCTCGTCAGTGAAGCCGAACATGTGAGGATCAGGATCCCCGGCAGCGTGCATCTCCATGAACTTAACGGCAACGGGCCCGCAGTCGCCGCTGCATTTGTTATGGTACAAATCTTGTACTCGGTGCCAGGTGTAACTTGTCAAGCCGTTTTGCTGTGATGCGGCGGGGCAGAGGCTGTTAACAGCGTAAGGGGGCATGTCGCAGATTGGTCGTAGCCACTTCTCAACGTCGAGGTCGCCTTTCAGAGATGGATATGGGTCTAGCACTTCGATGTGGCTAAGGCTGAGGTTGATAGCTAACCCGACCCAGTGTGAGGCAGACCAGCACATGGGGACGTAGACGGTGTCGGTGTCCTTCACCCATGTCCTTCCTTCCGCGTTGACGTAATGGCTGATGTCGTCCCATCTGAAGTTTGCCTTGTTTCTAGACATGCAGAACTTCCTATCTTTGGCTAATAAAATTCCTAGTAGCTCTGGAGGGCAGTAAGCTGCGGAGTCTTGGTGTCCACCGTATTCTCTCGTTGCTAGCCATTTCATCAAAACCTCCTTGTGCTGAGGCGGAGAAGTAGAAGGATGGTAAGCTTTCGTAAGTATTTTACTACATTAATGTGTTAGAAAATTACCAAAGTGGATGTCCATTGTTGTGGTTTAGATAGTTGTAGAAGGAAGCTGTTGTCGAAGACGGAGCCTAATTGTGTGAAGTGCCGCCTGTGGATGAAGACAAAGTATGATGTAGATTTTTTTTCAAAAGTATGTAGTTGTGCGTTAGGTGTGAAGGGCTTACACTGATGGAAAAGATGTGAGTGTGGTTTCTAGCAGCGTCCAGTGGGCCAGATCAAGTGGCTGTATTAGGCTGGATTGGGGATTAAACTTGGATTGTTTTATCGTGGAAGCCAAGTCCAACTCTATTTAGGACGGTTGATGTTGGTAAGGAGACGGAGGTGGGGAGGAGTCGCTAACTTGCTGAGGTTCGTCTTGGTCGTTGTTGACTTTGTTGAGTCTGCGCCAAATTTTTTTGGTTGGTGGGGGTTTGTATTCGGAACGATGTTCTACCTGTGGAGTGTGTTAGTAAGTTAAAAAAGCAGTGAATTTGAGTTATTCTGTTGAAGAACCTGACCTCGTTTTCAGTTTGTGTGTTGATTGGGCTCGTTGTGTAGTCGTTTGAATTCTCCTGCAAGGAAAGTAAGCCGAGGGGAGGCATGGTGGATTTAGTAACATTTGAAGAAGGCGTGACCATTAGTGGGGTAGCAGAGTATTGGCAATGTAATTGCCATTGTGGGCATAGTAAGATTTGTTTATTTACCTCTACAATGACAGCATTGGGCTTCTGCTTCGACATGTTTGAGTGTGTGTGAGCATGATTTGTAGCAGACGATTGCTGGCAGGTAATATCTAGTGGATGCGTAGGATGTGTAGGGCCCTGAAAAAAAGTAGCCGGGGCGTTGAAATTGTGGCGAGTGGATAGAGTAGTTGCGGCAGCTGACCACGGTTAAATGACCACGGAGGTGTTGAACATTTGACTATGGAGCAGAGTAAAAAGTGTTTGCGATGTTACCTTCTGCGTAGTGGAGAGTTGGGCGGCGTCATTAGCCGGCTCGTTGGGGCAGTTATTGGTGTGTGGATTTGTTGGTTGTATAGGCCCCTAAGAAAATATTGCAGGCAATGTTGGCAAATCGTCGCGTTAGAAGTATAAGTGAGTATGCCTGTGTAGAATGCAAATGGATGATAGTGCGTGCGAAGTACCTCGGGATGGGATTCTTGGCAGTCGTGTATGGAAGCAGTTGAGTCGGCATCACCAGAAATCGGGTCCGCATCGTGTGCGGGTAAATTCCCCTGTAATTGAGAGGGAGAAAAGTAATTTTCGGGTAAAAAAAGACGCTGAGGGTGACAAAACACGAGTAACCCAGATATAAGGACCATAAGATAGTGACCAAGTACGGTTGACCAGATACAAATGACCAAACATGAGTGGAAATGGATGATAGTGCATGCGAAGTTCCTCGGGACGGGATTCTTGGCAGTCGTGTATGGAAGCAGTTGAGTCGGCATCACCAGCAATCGGGTCTCCATCGTGTGCGGGTAAATTCCCCTGCAATTGAGAGGGAGGAAAATAATTTTCGGGTAAGAGAAGACGCTGAGGGTGACAAAACACGAGTAGCCTAGTTAGAAGGACCATAAGATAGTGACCAAGTACGGTTGACCAGAAACAAGTGACCAAACACGAGTGACCAGATACGAGGGACCAAATACGAGTGATCAAAATACGAATGACCAAAATAGGAATGACCATGCGGGAGTGGACAATGATAATTGACCATACGAGTGATTATGTTACCTGTAGAAGAAAGCCTCTCGAGAAGGGCAGGGATTTGCCGAAAAACGAAACGCCCAGATAGAAGGACCATAAGTTAGTGACCAAGTACGGTTGACCAGAAACAAGTGACCAAACACGAGTGACCACATACTAGTGGCCAAATACGAGTGACCAAAATACGAATGACCAAAATAGGAATGACCATGCGGGAGTGGACAATGATAATTGACCATACGAGTGATTATGTTACCTGTATAATTAGGGGAATTTGCTGATCGGGGGCCGAAAGGGCAGGGGAGTGAGGGCTTCGTTTTTTGATTGCCGATCGTAGTTGGTATTTCCCTTGTATGAGTGAAGTTAGCACCTGCTAATGGGGATGTCAGATGTTTAGCTAGTGGTAGTAGAAATGAATATGTATAATTTGTATCTTTTCTGCGCTGCTACGTAATGCCTCGGGATGATGGTTGTTTAGGTCAGAGAGTACAGAGGCTATGATCTCTTCGTGCCCTTGGGGCGGAGTCGGTTGACTGATCTGGTGTATCAGTTGGTTTAACGACTTGTTATCGATGTTGTGTTGGTCGGTGACGTAATGATGTAAAAGAGAAACATACCTGGTGGTTTGCCGCTGGAGGTGAATGTTGCGTGAGGAAGGGGGACATACTCTTCACGCGGAGAGAGAGTATGGTGAGTAATCGTAAATTGAGAAGGATTGAGAAATTAATAAGAGAAGAAGTATTGTGAGCGCTTACGTGGTAGTTGTCTGTATCCTCAGTTCGTGGACCGTGTAATATGTCATCGGGTCTCTGCGATAATGATAAGAGTGTTAGAGAAGAAAAAATTGTGTCGAGGTGATGTAGATGTAAGTAAGCAATGAATACTTGGCCTTTTGAACTGCTGGGGCAGTGGTTATGACTGTGGTCTGTTTCTTGAGCCGCCGGGGATCTATTCTCAAAGTCTGCATTGAGACCAATGATTGGTTGGGAACAAACGGTTATTTTCTGGCGTGCTGGGCGAGATCGGGAAAATGAAACTCTCCTCCTAGAGGGAGTGCTGTACCGCCGCGTGTAGGTGGTTCACAGGGCAGGCCGATGTGGGTTTGTTTTTGGAAACAGCTTAGTGAGATTGTGGTGTTTGTTCTTAAGAATGTGGAGTTGGTGACCAAGTTGTTGCACTTGTGCGGATAGAGAGAGGACATCTTCCCTCTCGTCACCGCTAACTTCTGTAGGGAGATTAGTGCCCTTCGAAGACGCAGGGCGATTACTTTTTTTCTTGAATGAAGTTGTTGGAGCCTTGGCTTTGAGGTGTTCGCGATATGCTTGGTTTCTGTCAACTATGTGTTTCTTGTGTTGCCGTTTAACGGGGGCGTGCTTGGTGACAATGATGGGAAAGGATGCATCTCCGCCTGGCCATTCTTGCTTCCGGAATGTATAGCCGCTAGTAATTTTGGAGTGCATGTATTTGATTTTCCTATCCCCCGACTCGTCGTCTCATTCGGTTTCTTCAGGTCGCTCAGCGTCAACCATGGGGCAAACGTTTAGCTGCGTGAGCGGGAATCAGATTATTTTGAATGAGACAAGGAAATGTGCGCATAAAAAGAAAGAGGCCAAAAAGGCTGATATTGAATATATCACTTACATTTGGATCCACTTCGGCGAGGTGTGTCTGATCTAAGGTTAGAGATCCATATTTGGGAATGACAATGCCATCCATGTGGAAAAGAGTGGGCTCCTCTGCTGTAGAAGGAAGCCTCTCGAGAAGGACAGGGATTTGCCGAAAAACAAGAAGCTGCAACGCGAGAAGGAATCCACAGAGACGCATACTGCCAGAACGGAGCTGAATGCGAAGTGTGGAGGCGAATTCTTCTCTCTTCCCCGGAGTGGATGGCAGTGGCATCATTGTGCCAATGGTGCGGAGGAATGACTCACGACCCCATGGAAATTGGAGAAAAGCTTCAACATCCTGAACCATGGTCACGTACCTTGGAGATGGCTTGTGAATCGCCGAATTTGCTATAAGGACGCCGTCAACAATCAAAATTAGAGCAAGTTGGAGTCTTCTTCTAGCAGGCATTTGAGGATTATCTCGCAGAATATCACCAATTTCGGCGCAGGTGGTGCCACGTTCTCCTATTATCTCTTTCCAGGCAGCGTCTGGCTTCCAGTCTTTTACAGGTTCGAAATCCGGATAGTAGTCCCCCGGAAACTGGTGACAAGGAAGACCTGTCATCTCGCGGAACTCTGTTAGGGAGAACCTAAATGGTTGACCACCAAAGACCATCCACAGCTCGTACTTCTTGTTGGATATAAGTTGTCTGGTCAGTAGAGCATGCAATGGCTTGCAAGATATTGGGCATCTAGCCGCCGGCAAATCGAAGAGAGGTCCAAAACAGGAGTCGAGTATAACCGCAAACTCGGGTGAATCTCCCAAAATATCCTGGATGACTTTGAGAGTATCGGGCTTTGAGTAAACATTGAGGCGGGCGTTGGGGAATCGGTCGGTGGCATACAATCGCGAGGGGAAGTTTTTGTCCCACAGTTGGTTGTCATCTAGGCCTACAAAATCGAAAACCAAAAATTCCCTGAACAATCGTAATCAAATTTGCAGAAGAGGAAGCATAATGAAACTAGATCTACAAAAAATGGTACCGGTCTCGCTATCCATTAAGAAAAGTAGTTTAGGTTAAAGCGGCGGCGAAAATAGAGGGTAGGCGGTGATTTGCGGGCGTGCGATGTTGAGGGAGTTAGCAACAGCAAAAATACAGGGTTGGTGGTGATTTGTGGACGTGGGATGTTGACGGAGTTAGCGACGGCGAGAATACAGAGAGGGCGATGATTTGCGGGCGGCGATGTTGATGGAGATAACAATGCGGGTAAAAATGAAAATTGGTTAAAATTTACCTAGGTTAAGAGCAAAAGGATAAATGAGACAAATCAGTTTGTGAAAGTGTATCGGTTTCAAAAAAACACTAAAATATAATAAGTTTAGATATAAGTGCCTTTAAACGTAAATATTTCCATATATGCATGCATCGATAATCGATGCTGTTATATAATAGTTGATAAGACTTGGGTATACCAAAGACCAAAGTAGTCAGTGTTTTGTTGGCTTCTGTCTTTTAGGTATCTTCTATGCTTTTTAGTTATTTAGGTTTTTTATTTGTTCTTTCTTTTTTCCCCGTTATTACATTAATTATTTGAATACTCATTTCTGGGTATCTAACTTCAATAATTCGCTCTTTCTTTTCCCCAATAAATTTCATGAAGTGACACTTTCTAGTTTCTACTCAATTTAATACTCAAAGGCCAAAGGGTGATGCATTTCTCATATTGTTTTGTTTTGTTTAATATTAGCATGATTCTATTTTAATAAATAAAATCCAACAAGTTAAAAAAAGAAAAAACAAAATAGAAGTTGTTCATACATATATCTTTGTGTTCTAGTAATATGCGCATCGTCCATAAATACATATAGTTATTTGATTCGAAACCTAAAGACTTAACAAGTTCTGCCGAATCCGTTTGCAAATATCTATCTAATGAAAGCGTTAGATTGATAAAACACATGTCGATATTCTATACATATAATAAAGCCAAAAAATGTAAATTCAAAAGCAACAATTCGAAGGCATGATTAAATGAGCAGTCGTCCATTGTAGTCTTCAAAGATTTTCATGTCTACATATGTATAGTCCCATCTCTTTTATTGCACTATCTTTTTCTTTGATTGCATGTATCTAACTTTCTTTCCACGTGTACACTAATTTACATTCATAAGAAACGATCTAAAACTGCTCTAGATCAGAAAATAGCAGCAACTTTATAGTGATATGCGGAAACTCATACGCAACAGGATCTTCATAATACTCTCATAAATTTTGTTCGCCACGTACAACGAACAAAAATAAAACAGAAAGACATGTACAGATCAATCTGTTTAAGAAAAACTAAAACACAATGTACAGATCAATCTATAAAGAGATAGATTGATGAAATGATTATGTCTTTGTCTGCTCTAGAAATTACCACTGCCTCATGTTTCCCTTCTCGTATTTTCTTTTACTAGAATTGATTTCTTTTGTTCCCTACATTATTGCTAAGTTACAAGCTCGTTACATAATATCTATAGTGAACAGTAGTTGGCTTTTCCCTGTTTCATATACCACTTTATAAGATCTCGTATAAATATTCTTAGCACTATCATTGGTCATGAGCTTCCGTATATTATATATATTTATTAGAGTTCTGTTTTTTTCTTTTGCGAAAAAAATTATTCGAGTTCTTGCGAGGTCTACCTAGAGTATATTTTCAAGTCAACAAAATATGTCAAAATTGCATTAAGCTATAGATTAGGCAATGCGTTGTAGATACTTGTGTTTGTCTTTTGTAGAATAGTATGTCATTTTATATAAGATCTAATGTGACGGGAAACTCATTCGTAGTTGACAATCTGGGTTTAACTAAAACATCATGAATTAAAAAAATGAATTTCTATTTATATTAAAAATTAAAAGCTAACCTCTCCTTTGTATATAACCTGTATTCGTTTTCTTACGGAATATGAATCTAATCACAAACCATTGAACCATGCATAACATATTATAACGGTGAGTCAAGATACTGAATTAGTCTTTTTACTTTCCTGTACAAATTTGTTTTTTCTGTCAATGAATTAACTAAAAGAGAAGCAAGATTAATGTGTTTCTTTGAAGCTAACTTGTCCATCCAAAGAAAAATAAAGATGATTGCTTTACAACAGCTTTACAGCAAAGAACATGTAAAGCGATGATGCATTCCTTTGAGCTGTCTGATGAGCGGTCCAAATTCTATAGACGGATCGGAGAAGAATGTAAAACATGATTAACTGCATTTGTTAAGCAAAAGCTTGTACGTTAAATCTCAAGAATGACTCATTAGTAAGCCCTTGTCATTTGTCAAACTTACTTTCTATTAATAATTTCCCTTACAATGAGAGAAAGACATATATAGCAATAAAGTGGACTTTGAATGATTCTCTCGTGTTTTAAATATGTAAGAGACAATGTACTCTAAAACATATGGTCTTGGTTCTTGGAAAGACTGTAGCTCACGAAGAAGTAGGATCATAGTTCTCATCGAATCTCGGCTTAAAGTTTTGCCAACGTTAATCTCAG